GAGTGGACTGTCACTAGGTGGTATGAACATGATATAAAGATGAGTGGACTGTCACAAAGTGGTATGAACATGATATAAAGATGGGTGGACTGTCACAAGGTAATATGAACATGATATACAGATGGGTGGACTGTCACTAGGTGGTATGAACATGATATAAAGATGAGTGGACTGTCACAAAGTGGTATGAACATGATATAAAGATGAGTGGACTGTCACAAGGTGGTATGAACATGATATAAAGATGGGTGGACTGTCACTAGGTGGTATGAACATGACTTTGTTACTGTGGAAGATCAACACTAGTGTCGCTATACTAGAATGTCTACATGATCGTGCGTCGTGACTTTGTTACTAGGATCACTGTGGAAGATCAACACTAGTGTCGCTATACTAGAATGTCTACATGATCGTGCGTCGTGACTTTGTTACTAAGTTTCTGGCGAAAGCTGAACTCTAGCGGTAAAAAATGTTAAAATTATTGCGTAATGATTTTACCTCTAGAAACAGTAATATTATGAAAATGAAATTTCTGGCATTTATTATTTTGGTATTTTGAGACGCAATAAAATAAACAATATTATATAAAAGTAGACGATACTCAACAATGTACAAAATTCTGCAACATATAGAACCAGGAGCCATTTTGTTTACTTTGTGTTATACGAAGATATTAGTTAGAATGTTTCTGGCTATTTAAGAGTTACTGATTATACCTCCATTTACATCTAGACGTTCCTTCTTCAGAATATAATTCGCTCCTGAAGGGTAAAGTTTGGCCCATTGGTTAGCAGGCTGGACTCTAGACCATTTGATCTCATGTTCGCGTCCCTTTACTGCACCTTAGGAGCGTGAATTCGTTATAATGGTGACGGTCAAGTCCAACTTTATCACTTCAAAATTAAAGACAGTTAGCTTAACTTTGAGTAACTTTGCGTGCATATCCAAAACCTTTCGTAAAAGTCACGAGTTCTGAGCTTCTGATTTTGTGACTTATTCATTATTGTATAATTTCTAGCTTTCCTAAATATCTATGTTATATTGTTCATATGTATTTCTCCACCAGAGGAAATTCAGGAGCTCCTCGCCTTGTAAAGTAACTCATACGATTAGGTGCTCCAGTTGGAAAAACAAAAACCCAATTTTGATGAAAGTATTTTGTGTGAAAGAAATTTAAACAATAGGTGAACCGAAGCATTTATACTTTATTTGCAACATTAAATTCAAACACCTGGAAACGTCAAGTACAACGTTTATTCAAGAACATTGAGGACCTCATTCAAAATGCTACTCGAATACAGAGAAGTCAAAAGCATACTTCAAGACGTTGGAAGCCAATAAAGCATTCCTTGTGCAGCCGTACAAATAGAAGGTGTTTGAAGGATTCTTCTATGGGTGACATTTTTAAATAAGTTGTCAACAAAGAAGGCTTGTTTGCAGCGTTGTTTTCTGTGCGATTTGTTTGGTGGGAACCTCCACATCTGGAAATGTAAATGTCCACTTTGAACATGCATGAAGGATCATTATACAAGTGTAGCATGTATGTAGCGAAAACGTCTACTACAGCAACACCTATAAAACAACAATATAAATTGTTTAGCACATACGAATTATCGACACCGAAATGTAACACTCAAAACAGGAAACCATAATTCCAGACCATAATGCGTGATAAATGAGTTTGGGAACTTTCTATTTCCAACAACCACGAGACATAAAATAAGTTGGGTCTTGTATTGGTAAAAAAATCACATCAGTCATATTCTCTTTTTTAAAATTGAATTGCCTATATTTAATTTATTCAAAAGTAAACACACACACACACGCGCTCATATACTATGTTCAATAAACGTTTCAAATGCTTTCAAGTTTCTAAGGTAATTGTTCTATGAGAATTATCCAACCAGCTCCGATTGCAGATGGGTCTGGATGTTTTAAAAAAATACTTGTTTTAGCCAAAATAAAAATCGCTGAAGAATATGAAAAATAAAACTACTGTTGTTGTTTTTTTTTCTTACTTCATTTGCATCGTTAAATTTTCCAAGTGTTCTACCTTTAAATAACGCTATGTTTAGTGGAGCAGACATCTGATCGTTTCAGTGATATTTCGGCAACCCGTGAACTGTCACTCCAGTTTTTGGATTTTGTTTCATTGTTTCAGCGCAAAGATACGCAATGGCTGTCTGTGCAGTGTTCGTCGTGTGGATCGAACCCTGGGTTTCAGCGTTAAAGGCTATGAAGCTTACTTCTGAGCATAATCTTGCTTTTATTAGGTTTAGTTTACCAGCGATAACGTAGGGTAGATAATACAAAAATGCATTTTCAAGTTGACATACCCGTATGAAAGACAGGATGAGAAAATAGCTTCTTAAAACAACGTTTTCCTATTTTCGAATAAAGTGTTCGGCGAGTAAACTAAACGTTATGTTCTAAAAAAAAAAGCATTCATCGATACATAATTTGTTTAAAGATACTGATGGTAATGGTTAGATGAACTTCAATTGAAATGAGAAGCTCGTAATGGAAGTCTGATGTAACATCCTGTTGACGAGAGTATATACAAACTATCCCCCACTCTCCAAATTCTTATCAAATTTTAGTTTCAATTACTGTCGAGTTCACTAAACAAACAGTTAACCGATTACCTACTGCAGAGTAAATGAACATGATGATTGAAAGTCCTATGTCACATTATGGTACGCCCCAGTAGATGAGCATGCCGCTAATAGCCAGGATGTATTGGACTATACCTACAAAAGCTCGTTAATCTCGAACTAAGTAGGCTTTTCGAAAATAAGTTTTAGTGCGAACGACCGCAAACTCAGACATATTTAGCTTGATAACTCTGTATCAGGGCCAGCGTCATTTGATTGGGGGGGGGGGGTGATCGTCCAGTTTAGATTCTGTGCCCCCTCTTTCAATATCAGATTCCAAACAGAAATAAAAAGTCTGTGACAAATGTAAACCACAAACTAAAACTAAACATGATAATAATAAGTCACTCAGACCTAAAGGTTTTTAATGTCTTAATAATACCACTAATTATATATATTTATAATTAAAATAAAACAACAAAAACGAGAAATTACATTCATGTGAAAGTTTCGTAATAATACACTGTCATATTATTTATTTATTAATGTACAGTGACAGTAAACACGAGTTAATTGATTTCGGTTACCTATTCTCTACTCCTCCCCCACCCACTCCAAGCATACATTGTTTTTTATATGGAAAACTGAAAACATTAGCCATGGAATATCATTTTGAAACAGTGTTTTTTTAAGTAAGTTTATCTTATGTTTAATATTAATACTGTTGTCATAATATTTTATATTTAATATTAATACTGTTGTATCGTTGTTCTTTCATTGTCGGGTTATTTTAAATTATCTGACGGGAATAATTCAACATCCGGTCCACGTAACTACCACAAATTAATTTATTTTCTCTCTTAACATCCCTACAAGTTTAAACACTTGTACACTGTCGTAAATTGTTGTAAGCCTACGTTACAAATGACGTTGAAACCTCTCTAACAGTACTAGAGTTAACATAAAATAAATTTACTTGTACAAAGTAACTCAACATGCACTATAGTTAAGACAAATCCAAATACTTCACGAAAATACACTTAGTGATTCAACTCTGTATCTTGAAACAAATCCAAATACTTCACGAAAATACACTTAGTGATTCAATTCTGTATCTTGAAACAAATCCAAATACTTCACGAAAATACACTTAGTGATTCAACTCTGTATCTTGAAACAAATCCAAATACTTCACGAAAATACACTTAGTGATTCAACTCTGTATCTTGAAACAAATCCATCTATCTTAAATATCTTCCCAAACCTCTATTATATATCTTAGAATTTACTCGAAAACATGACATCAAACCTTAGAACTTTCTAGGCCTATCTTAACGTTATCATTATGTCCCGCAGCTCCCTCTAGTTAACAAATAAATTGCAACATTAAATGTTTGTTTATGAAAACAGTGATAATGAAGAAACCAGAAAGCAGATGTATTATGTCTCGAAAATTGTTAATGTAAAAAAAAAAATGTAAAAAGGCATTTCAGTATTCAGTAAAATATCGCGTTAATTTTGTGTCTTCTATAAACCTTATTCGGGATCAGGTTTTAAACCAATGTTTTTAATGACAACAGCTTTAATCATAACAATAAATAAACCTTATTCGGGATCAGGTTTTAAACCAATGTTTTTAATGACAACAGCTTTAATCATAACAATAAATATATATATAGTGATTAGGAAAATAAAGCAATTACTCTGTAATGTGTAAACAGGGGCGTAGCTAGCACTACACAGTGGGGTAGAGAGTCGTTTTCCCAAAATAATGTGGGTCTTTTTATCGACACAAAGAGATAAAGTGATATACATGAAATCAAGTGGAATTTTTTAACTTTTTAGAATATTGGTGTGGTGGCTCGCCCCCCCCCCTCTCCCTAGCTAATTCCCTGAGTGTAAGGTGCAGGCTCGCCGACGGGGGGGGGGCGAATGAAACCTGGTTATGCCGTAAAGCCCGCAAAGCATGTTTAGGCTATATCATCACTTAA